TGAACTACTACTAACCACCGTCTACCTGTATAAACCTCTGGAGGGACAAGTGGTCGTAGGTGTAAGTGTTGGAAAAAATAAAAATTATTAAAATATAATATATATATATATTTTAATCCATTCGGATATTTTGAAGTACGTGTATAACCATGACGATGCATCTAAGTTGGATAATTCATTTAAAAATCAGTTGATTTACTATTATACCAATAATTTATTGATAGAAAATATCAAATTTTTTTAACTTTCATTAACATGTTTGATGGCCAATATATATACCTAGGTTAATAACTATTCCTAGCTACTCAATTAGCTTTCTACTGTAAAATTTATTATAATTAATTATAATAACAACTGTGACATTTTTTTTTTTTAATGAAATAGTCATCTCCTAAAAGAATAACTAAGTGACAATTCTTGAGCTGAAAAGTTTTCTAAATAATTGGTAATTGGGTAACTTCTTTTATCCAATAACACGTTTCGTGCACTTATGAAATCAATAATTATTATCGATATATTAACCACAACATTATTTTCTTATCCTACAGAAAGATAGGAATTAGAAAAGAGATAATACTAAGCTCATTGAATATTCCTTATGGGTTTAATTTTGAGAATTCAATGGAATTTTCTACATTGAATGAATGGATCTCACACGCTTTCGGCAAGATAAGCATTGCTCTTAGAAAAATCATGTCACAAAGAAAACAGGCAATTTCGTGCATGCATTTCTTGCCTGCAAGGAATTGATTACCTAACAAAATGCAACAACAAAAGTCTTACGATGCATTAAAATATTTATAATTCAATAATAATGATCTTTTTCTATCGTAGATCACGAGTTTAAATTTTAATAAATTAATTCTACTAAAAATCTTAATTATAGGATATTAAAATAAAATCACAAAAGAAAAATTCTCACGATACCCGAAGGAGCTGGACTTTGTAAAACTTGGAAGACTCCCTCCTCCCACCCAATAGCCAATGCTCTAATTCTGTAATTTTATGTTCGTATATTGTTCTAATAAATTAATTTTTTTTCCCAAATCTATCAAAGTTGTGTGTTCTTATATTGTTTGTTTATTATGTTTTTAAAGCATTTGAAAACGCAACATTTTGTCACCTCCATCCCTATCATAATCATAAGCAATATTACGTGTACGAAGATAAATTCAATTTTAATATGAAGAGTGGAGCATCTTTTGGGAAAAATAATTAATAAAAAAGGTTGGTTTGATATCCCTATAATTGATTAGTTAGGATGTTTAGATCAATCAATTGATATCCATAGTCGGATAATTAGTTGGTCAAAAATGGGTCTCTACAAACATCCTGACGTTAATCTCAGAGAATTTGCAGCTGCTGCTGTTTTTATGTCATTGTTTTGTGCAAAAAAATTGTTTACGAAAAGTGTTACCATATTAGTATAATATTTATTATTCCACGTACCTAAAAGGCATGACCCACATCATAAAAGAATTTCAAAGTGTTAAGAGAAGATGGATCGTGGGCTCCGTTCCATTGTCACCTACCATCAACGTGAAGGAAGCAAATAAATGCCATAGAATAGTTTGAGTTTTTTTTTTCATTTTTTTTTTCAAAATTAGAGATTTTGGTTATTTTTCTAACATAGTTAGGGAGGTGGAGTAGCATGGTTCACAACCTTGAGAACGATCATGTAGTTTTTTTATTTTATTTTTTTATTTTCTAGGTTCTCTACTTCCTCATTGCTCAAATTAGATTAATTTTAGCATAAGAGAAGAGGTCATGAATAGAGAAACAATGGAGACATTCTATTGAATAAAGGATATACATCATGATTTTTTATATATATTTATCAAACAAAGTTAATCAAGATAAAAAAAGAAAGTGAAAATATATCAAATTACGAGATATTTTATTTTTAACTGAATAAATCATATAATTTCTACCTATATATTTATCAAACAAAGTTAATCAAGATAAAAAAAAGTGAAAATATATCAGATTACGACATATTTTATTTTTTAATTGAATAAATAAGATAATTTCTACCTATTTTTACCTTCTTAGAAGTAAAGGTTCTTTTATACTCGGTTCCATTTAAATAAATAAAAACCAACTTCTATAGAAACAAATATCCTTATAATTTTTAGTTATAAATTTAAATCCTATTATCTCATGGTCTATTTTAATCGAAATTCAATAACATAAAATAATAAATATCTATATAAATTTTTTAAGTAGAGAGAGTTTTTATTTAAAAATATGCTAGAAAATTTATGCAAATATCATTTTTAAAGTTCACCTAACGAGTTAAACTCTCGTCTTTGACTTGTTACTTGATATGTGATAATTTTTCTTTGCAAAGAAACAAGGAAACATGGACACCATCAAAGTTTGGATTTTCAACCTGAAACTTATAAATTCAAATAAAGTATCATGACGTTTGAATGGAAAAACACAAGAGAACTTCTTTTTCAAAGTAAATTTGCGTGTTATGAATTTGAACTGGTCGTTCTTAAGATATCGATCCATTCCTAACAATTTCCTTCAATTTCTTTTCGTGTTTCCCATCACAATATCTTTTTGTGGAAATTCATGCAAGCAGGCAATCATTTGAGTTTTGAACCTTCAGAGCGGTTCATTTGTAGAAAAAGAGACAAATCGTGAAATGATTTTCACCTTTTCCTTTTCCGTCTTTCTTTTTCTTGCTTGTTTTTATAAAGAAAAATTAGAAAGGCGCGTTGCACATCTTACCAATATATACTTTGTAAGTATCCATTTTTTAAAAGATTTTGTTACCTTCTACAAGATCTATCATCTTAGATAAATTTATACTATTAATTTTAAAATTAATATTTTACATTTGTTCATAGAATAAATAATTACAAAAAAAAAAAAAAACACCACTAATTTGGTAAAATGAAATCCTAACCATTGATCAATGACCCGGATTTACGTAACACGATGGATCATGTTATTCTTAATATTTGTAGCGAAAGGTCCATTTCATCCCTATGGTCTATTTTTTTTATCAATTTGCTAACCTTATAGAACCTAGATCATTTCTAGTTTGAGTATTCAAAGTCAAGAGGCATATTCAAATCAAGTTACATGTGAATCAAGATTAAAATCTTCCCTTAAATACTAACACTGGTTTCAAAATTCAAAAACAGGACTACGTTGATCGATGAGGGTCATGACCTTTTAGTTCTAAAATTTTGAAAATTGTTAATCATACCCTCAATTTTACATGTTTTAATTTCTCAAGAATCTATTATTTTCTTATTCACTCCTCCGATAGAGGGAATAAACCTCACCACCAGACCTATCCTTTGTGGTCTAGCGTGTGTGTGTTTCGTCTTTATTTTTTTTCCTACACTTACACGGTGTTGAACTGCAGAAGGGTGGAAATTTCCTTTGTCTTATCAAACACGTGCACGCGCACGGTAATTCGGTCTCGAAAAGATCGTTTTGGCTCGTACGAGGAAGCTTCGATGCTAGTTTTATCGTCTTTATGACTTCTCAAAAGGTTCGAACTTGAAAAACACACAAAGTTATTAATAGCATAGGCGACCCTTCTCCATCGAAATAGATGCCTTCCGTCTTCTCAAGTCTTTCACACCCACACCTATATCGCTCCAACAATACCATGTTTTTGTCTATATAATGACTTGACTGAGTCATCACTTTCCAGTGGCTGTTAAGGGAAACAAAATAAAGATAAAACACAACTTACTTATCAGAAATGGTCCTCCATATTTCAAAAACCTGCCCATTTAGCTACATGTATTTTATACATAAACACTTGTACGTATTTTGTCTAATGACAGAGCTTCTTGAATTTGTAAAAAATCACGTAATTACTTTTTAAAAAATATTTAAGTTTAGAGAATACTTCATTTTTAAAAAAGGTTAAAATAACTCTTTTTTTTTTTTTTTTAAATGTTGGTAACCAAATTAATGCATCATAGTAATATAACTTTTTTTTTTCAGTAAAGCTGTTATTGGATCAATTTTTACGTATTTTAATATTAATTTTTTTTGATACGGTTAACGGATACTTTCCAATACATAACTTCGGATATTTTGAAAATAAATTTTCAAGAATATTTGTTTCAAAAATCAAATCTTAGATCTGATTTACAAGCCAACGCTTATTTATTATCGAATTACAACCTTATGGTCACATTAATATAACTTTTATATCTAGCTAATTACTAATCAGTTGATTATAGAGTGTAATCCATGAAAACAAAAGAAAATAAATAAATAAATACACACGTCAATACTTAGAGAAGGTCCTACCCATTCCATTACATAATGTCAAGTTCGATTTTAGGACAAAAACAAACAATATCAACAACAGGACGAGAGATTTGTCAAATTCCTAGAGAGTTGTCCGAAGATATTTTATGGATTGTCCCAATCTACTGGATGAGCATTTTTAGACCGCGCATATACTAGTCCGTGGAGTAGAAAAATTATCAAATAGATCTGGTCTACCATTTAACATTATATACCGAATCAATAAATTTTTTACATAATATTAAATTTATTCATGTTATTTTATTTTATGCTAGATGAATTATGAATTATTTTATTCTATAATTATGAATATATTATTAAAAATAAAAAGATTCACATTTTAAACTTAATTCACTAAATAGATGATTTAGATTAATTTAATTATTCCTAATAATTCCATTAGACTGATCCATGAGATCATATACTGCATATCGGAGTTTCTTGTAATAATATCTAGCAGTCCATATCCACACAGTTTCCTGTAATAATTTCCAGCAGTCCATGTCCACAATGCGCCTTACTTTTTCTTGGTCAAAAGAAGTCAAATTCACGGATAGAGGAAGTTGAGTCATTAGAGAGGAGCTATATCCTTTTAAAGGCCAAGTCAAGCCCAACCCAATAACTTGGGACCCAGCAAAACACTCCTTTGTTTAGCGCGCGAAACACCCGAAATTGCAACCAAAGCTGGTCTCTAGATTTATCAACATTTCCTAACACCTCCCAACTACCGCAGAAACCTCCATCACCCCAGCCAAGCCACCGCGTGCAGGTAATGGAGACGTGGGGAACTGAACCCACATCATCAAAGCGCCTCTACCAAGTAGAAGCTTCAGCAAGGAAGCTCTGGCTGACCACACCCCTAGAACCACCTGCTGGACCACCACAAGAAGCAATAAACACACCCCAATTTCACCAAAAATACACCGCCAAAGGAACGATCTCTTGGCATCACCCCAGGCCAAGGACCTATAAGTGGTGGTTCTATGGAAAAAGGACTAACCCACAAAGTCTCCAGGTAAGACAGGTTCCCTCTCTAGGATAAAACTTGCGGGATTACTTAAAACTTCAATCATGAATTCATGGCATAACGGTTTTAGTAACACCCATCTTACATATATATTGCATCAAGGAAACAAAAATAATATCCAGTTATGAAAAATACCAATTTCACGCATTTGTTCCCAGTGCAAATTAGGTTTGTGTAATTTTTTTCAAATGAACTACAAGGGCCTGCATGTTTTAACATTATGCCTAAGAGGCCCAAATCTAATAAGTTGTGCATAGCTATAAGCCTATCGCTATGCAACAACTATTAATTAGGTCACAAAGAAACAAACTGATCATTAAGGATCACAAGGAAAGCTAAAGAGACATTATTGGGTGGATAGAAGTTGCTCCATTACAAGCCTAAATAGAATGATCCTCGTTCAATGCTCTGACAAAAATATATGGAATGAACTGCTTAAATGCCGATGGATTGAAAAAAAAATTAACCAAAAGAATAAAACCAAGCCACCTTCTCCGAGTGTGCATGAAAAATCTACTGAAAAAGGGTTCTTGTCAAGTGTTCCCGAGCTGTAGCCAATGCTTGACCTATTGTCTGCAATATTAGAAAGGGACTATGGAGGTTACGCTAAGAAACTAAAGGAGAAAAAAGTACAATTTCTACAAATAAGTCAAAAGATTTAGAGAATGTTGGAGCAAGGGTCATCTCTAGCAGTTTGTTAAGATTTTGATAATCTTATCAGCATTCCAGTAATTTTTCTGATTCCATAGTAACATTTTAAGATTCAAATACTATGAAGAGCATTATAGGCAGGAAAAAAATCAAACCTGCTCCGATAAAGGCGCACTGGGATCCATGCTGTTTACAGCAACCTTTCCAGCGATAACATTAGCATCTGTTTCGAGGATCATGCTGCCAAGCAAGAAAGAAAGCATAAATACATGCGAAAGACCTTGACCATCACATCAAACAGACAGCATCAGGAGCAAAAATATGCAGATTGCAGGAAAAAGGATCCTCCATAGAGGAGGAAGCACGGAAGGGACTTCCACTCATTCCATTTTTTGTTGCTGTAATTTACAGCATGTAACATAAAAACTGCACCACTTGTATATTAGACAGGACTAGCAAATGCTTCACGCTCAGAAGCAGGATCAAAAACTTATTGTTCATAATCTAGGGTCAGTACAAGTAAAAACAAAATTAAGTTATTTTCACTACTGAACTGAAAAAAAAAAACTCTGTTCAACTAGGTGGACAGACTTTACCAATCATGTTAGACCGCTAAGATCTCATCATCCAAATATTGCATACGTTGATAGATTATAGAACTTGTTCACAAAGAAAAAAGTGATTCTGAAATGCCACCACCACTGGCTAAAATTTCGACAACTATTTAAGTTTCCTTTCATTTGGTTTATTTTCCATTGTACTTCTAATTTTATTTCCTCATATGGTGCAAAGGAATACACTTCTCTTCGAAAATTGAACTATTTTAGCTTCTTTTTTGTCAAAATATACATCCATAAGGACCGACAAAAGAAACTGAATAGAATCTACCATCTATTTTTTTGTTGTATATAAAAAAAGGCTACTTGCTACGTGATATTTGCAAGGGTGATTTACCAGAGAAAAACACTTTTCTAGGAAAAGATAACACTCTGTTGGGGAGATGAGAAAATGATGGAAAGAAAAGAAGGTAATGAAAATGAAAGAGAATTGAAAATGAAAAATTACAATTTTCCTCCACCTCGTTTGAATAGTTTGAAAATGGGAAGAAAATGATGTTAAAATAAAATGGAGGGAAGCAAGAGGTCTAACAATACAAGTATTTGCCCTTATATCTTTTAACACATTAATGTAAAGGATAAAGGGTTGATTGGAAAAATTAGAAAACATCCAAATTTCTGAGAGATTTTATCTACATTTTCTCTCCACTTGTGCAGAGAACCAAAATGGTAGGTCAATATAGGGAATTTTCCTCCTATTTCTCATTCTCTCCACTTTCTCTTCCCTATCCAAACAATGGAAAAGTTCAATCACCTCAAATTTCATTTCCCTCCCTTTCTCCTCTCCCAAACACATTGTAAACGATCAAGGGGGTCCTAGGAAGGGAACTTCAGAGCTCCCACCCTCCCATAAAATTGCATTAAGTGGTTGTTCGTAGAGCTTGAACCTGCAACCTCTTTGTCACACAATCCCAGAATTCTTATATTGTACTGAAAACAGTCCTCGAGAAAAAGAAAAGGTTACGAGTTGGGAATTCATAATCACTTCATGTTTGTATGATTTAAACAAAAATCTCTCGAAGGGCTTTTAAAATTGAATTAATTGTTTGGAAAAGAAAGATGTATCCAGTTTCTCAATTATTCTCATTCTGCAATAATCTTCATATGTTTGAGTACCTACTGTCCTGCGAAGGTTGAAAAAGGCAATAGAACCATTTCCCTACAACTGCTATAAACAGGAATACCAAAACAGATAGACAAAAACAATTAACTCACTACGAAACTACCAGCAACAATACAGATACCCTAAAGGACAGCATGATAACAAAAGGATTATAACTTCTAATTGACGCATCTAGTGTTCTGTAGCATATGAAAATTTCAATTAACAGTAAGTTTATCTGTCAAGGCTACATGTAGAAAACAGCATTTCAATAAAAGAACTTTTTAGTTTAGTACATTTTCCTACATAGCGTATCAAATCAATCCAATTCCCAAACAAAATAAAAATTGCATAATAAATCTGCCATCAAAGTAAACATAAAAAAATCAGGACAGAATGCATTAGTTACATACCCTCTTTCAACAATCTCATCAAGGCATAAGAAAATGAGATCTAAGTTCTCAAGTGCCTCCCTTTTCTCAACATTGCTCCTACAACAAGGGCATGGGAAAGTAAATTGCACAGGAATAGAATCATATAATCATTAAATCAAATTAAAAACGGTTAGAAGTTTAACCAGAAATACCTCAAGAGGAGAGAGACTGAATCAAAGAAACCCTGAAGAACTGCAGCCAAGATGAGTTCATTTTCATCCTCACCTCCAGTCACATAAAAATGAAGGTCCTGGACAAATTTGTAGATGATAATGTTGCTGTCAAACATTGTAATCTCCGCTGCATAGAACAACATATCAGGACCACAAGTCATGTTGTATCTCATAACTTCCACACTCGATTAAGCAGAATTTAAAGACTCATAATTAACTTTTATGCTTTTAGTTTCATGGGGACACATTTCAAAACATCATGCCAGAAGCCATGCCTGTGAATATTAGATGACAATGCAGACATTTAAGAACCCTAGCAATCCTCCTAAAACATAATCTGGCAAAATTTACAAATGTCAAGAATGTCCATTAATTAACTTCAAAGAAGCTCCATTAACTAACTTCAAGAAGTTCCATTATCTAACTTCAAGAATTTCCATTGACTAACTTCAAAGTAAGCTGTCAAAGTATGAACAGTTAAAAAGGATTATCAACAAACAAGCAAGAGCAGACTACTACAAAGTAAAAAGGATGATTTGCAGACTTCAAGAAGATCCCTTAACTAACTTCACGAATCTCCATTAACTAACTTCAAAGTAAGTTGTAAAAGTATGAACAGTTAAAAAGGACTATCAACAAACAAGCAAGAGCAGACGACTACAAAGTAAAAAGGATGATTTGCAGACTAAGAACAAGATGCAGAAATCATTCAAAGCAGCACTCCCAATTAAGACTTGAACAAGATTTTCCACACTCAGAAAATTCTGCCAATTAACTAAGATCCTTCATCTGCAAATGATTCTTGAAAGTAACTTTGGGGAAAAAAGATATAAATTTTAATGGTGTGAGAAAATATACTGTGTTTGCTCATGCAGTTGGGGCCATGTAAACAGGCAACTAATTTTGGATTCAACAGAAGAGGATTTTGAGTTGTACCCAATTGTGCAAGATCTTGTCTCTAAAGGGTAAGAAGTGACATAGTAATCACAAATAATTATAGAAGACACCTATATATATGGAACATGGTAAAGTGCTTGCTATAACAAGGAAGGGAAGCATATATGCGAACTTGTATTTGCTTTTCTTGCACAAAACAAAATTATCTTTTCCATTGACTATATAAAAAAGTTTTGTGGATTCATTTATAATAATTTTGACGTGAATGAATGCTACTTAATTATTGTGAATGCATTCCACTACGGAGGGAATTCATATTCAGTTAACAAATAAACTGAATAATTCTTCAAAGATGAACAACTTTGATTTTATAAAAGGTTCAAATAGCTTGATAAATTCATGCAGCATCGTCAAACCTTCCGTTCGAGCATTTGATTTCATAGTCTTTGTAAAAAGAGATTTTTCAAAAGCTAACTTTGCACTATTGGTCGGCCAATCATCTGAATAGTATTTGACCGCAACTCGCTTCCCTTCAGAGTCCAACAGAAGAATGTTTTTCACCATAGGGCAGGATTCCTATAAAAAAAATAAGAAAAAAAAGCAGTCAGCGTAATAATGAAAAAGAAAACCCTAGGCAAAACAACAGTATTTTCCAGATTCCAGATTTTCCTTCGCTTTCTCAGCAACCAAACAGACCTCGAAACTCACATTTCACAAATAATTAAACCAACAACTATCCAAACTCAATTCCACACGTAACTAACACCAGATCTCAGCAAAATTCAAAACCTCAAAACTCCGTATGGTTACTAACAAATCAAAGCCAACATTTAGAGCCTCCAATCCTAGCAACCAAACAGAGCGTAACTGATTCCAAAGTCACGAATTTGATTCAGCAAACGGAGGAAATGATTCAATTGTGTGATTAGAGGCTAACGATTTATAAAATTAGATGCGTAATTAAAATAATAACAGTAAGAATCAAAGCAGATTAGAACAAATTCGAAATGGATGGTATAAAACGACAGTACAAATTGGAAGTGAAATAGCATAAACGACAACATCATGAACTTACCATTTTGGGAGATCGCGAGAGGTGGAGATCTAGATGATCGACTTCTAAGTTCTAACCTCCCTCTGAGATATATATATATATAGAGAGAGAGAGAGAGAGAGAGAGACTTGTGTGTGTTAATAATATGGGCGAGCGAGAGGGAGAGAGAGAGATGGTTTGTAAATTAAGGAACTCAATAACGAAAGCGCCACTGCTTAAGGAAGACTCTCCCGTGGGGAATGGTACAGGGTAAATTGGTAATACTCTGTTTATTTCGAGGGATATAACAGGCAATCCAAGTGTACTCTATGAAACTCACTATAATTTCTAGCAGGAATAATTACATTATTAGTACATTAATTTTGAATATTTTTTAAATTGAATATATTAATTTTTCTTTTTATTCTTTTAAGTATATGTTAATTTTTTAAAAAAGATTAATCAAGTTTTTTCGTCAAATTTTTTATCTAATAATAATATAGTAGTTAATGCAAAAGATTAAATGATTATTTAAATTTATAAAAAAAAATTGACGCTATACATAAATTGGCACATGTGCGTGCCGACTGTAAATTTTGTTTCGCAGACTTTAGTGGAAGAACTGAAGAAATATTTGAATTACTAAATTCAAATGCAAATTGGAGTTTTATTACGTACGTATACTAATGATAATGTATAAAGCATAGGTAAGTAATTAATCTAATTTTTTTAATATGTTGCATGTTATTGTTTTCATACTTATAGTAATGATAATGTATGAAGCATAGGTAAGTAATTAACCTAATTTTTTCAATATGTTACATGTCACTGTTTTCATTGTCATTTTATGTCTTATCATCACGAATCAGGTTAAGACTGATGCATTAATAGGAAAGAAAAAATGGTTAGAAGGTTTGTTAGGATTAAAGGCAAGTTAATTGAGAACTTTTTGGTGGCTGTGGCTGCCCATTCACACAAGGGCACATATATAATAAGCGCAGGCACCTCACATTTCCTTCCAGTATTGCCCGCAAGATCATCAAATTGCATCCTAACACCTTGCATTTTCAATTATCCGTATCTCTATGATCGATTAAATTAATTCTACTCTAAGCAAGCACTTTTTCTTGTCAGAATTTGTAGCAAAGTAGATGAGCATTTACAAGTACAGAGGGACAAACCAAGGCAACGACGTCTTATCACAACATCATCATGACTTATAAAATGAATTATGTTTTTTTAAGCAGAAAATTAATAAAAATATTTGAAAATCAATTAAATAAAAAAATTTAAAAATTTAAAATAATTTTATTTTGACACACCCGCATCGCCGCGCAGGCTCCCGAATAGTAATTACTACATCAAGTGTTATTGCCAACAAACTACACAAATAATACTCCAACATTTTTTATTTCACTCCCGTTCCATAATAAAATTCATTAAAAAAAAACTAAAACTAAAACAAAATGTTGATTTACTATCTATTAACATTGTTTTAAATACTATTCATTCAGACTTATTTTTACTATTTACACAGATTTATATGCATCATTCATTTTGCTATGTAGTAATATTTTTGTAATTTTTAAATTTTTTAAAGATATTTATTATGAATTTTTTTTTGTAACATTACATTTTAGTTTCTCGTTTTTAAATATGTTTTTTTTGGTCTGTAAAATTTTTTTATTTCATTGATATTTCTTTTTTGTTTCATTTTGGTCACTTTGGTCCTTACCTTTTTTCTCTCTCTCTAATTTTTTAAATTAAAAATTTCAAGTAAAAAATATTTTTAAAAAATAATTTAAAAATAAATTTCTAGTTAAGAATCCACTGATTTAAACTTTTTTCTTACATTATTATAAATTTTTTAGTTAAAAAATATAAATAAAGATAAATAGATAATATTTTTTAATAGAAAATTTATGAAAAATATAAACAATAATAGTCAAATACAAAATTTTGATTAAAAATTATAAAATTGAATGAATTTTTAGTCAATTTTATTGATTTATTTTAATAGAAGCACAATGTAAAAGAAGATAAATTAAAATAATTTTATAAAAAATTAATTTTAAATATTGTCCGACCGCGTAAAAACTAATTATGTAAAACTAAAAGAAGTAAACATTTCACTATTCACTATGGACGGCTTTTTTGTGATGTTTTAGATTTTGATGGGTGAAAATTATATAACTTTTTACATTTTGGTCCATAATATTTTTGAACGAATATTTCAATCCATTATTTCATTTGCTCATCCATTTTGGTCCTTGGGTGTAGAAAGAAGGGAGGGGGAGAGAGAGAAAGGAGGAGAAAGAGATCGTCGACCAAGTTTATTTAGGTCACTTTGATAGGCGAAAATCCACTAGATTTTTTTATCTTTGAGAGATGAGTTTGCCTATGGTTGTTTCAAGCCATTAAATAATTAGAGAAAGTAGATTAGAGCAAAAAAAAGAAAAAAAAGTTCTAATTTGATTGTGTATAAAAAAAAAAGTTGAAAAATATAAAAAATAAATAATTATTTTTTTAGTTTTGCGTATAGTTTGAAGATGATTGAATATATATATATATATGATTATAATACTTTTATTGTTTAAATTTATTTCTTTAATTATTTTTTTCTTATCAAAATTATCATCAAATTAATTTTTTGATTTAATTTTATTTGTTAATAAATTTATTTTTTTAATGTATGAATTTTGAAATAAATTTTAGAAATTCAGATGTTTTATTTTTTTAATTATATTATTATAATTTATACAATAATTTTTTTTTATTTTTAATGCGTTTTTAATATATATATATATATATATATATATATATATATATATATATATATATAGTCGAATTTATCTAAACCAATTTTATTGTAATTTTTATTTATTCGAGTTGATTTCAATATATTTCATATAATTTAAGTAAGTTTTTTTTGTATTTTTTTATTTTAAAATTTATTTTTTAAATAAAATAAAATAAATAATATTTTGAAAGAGATTTCAAATTATTTAAATACAAATACTCATATTTATATATATTAATAAATATATATAAACCAAATGATTTGGTTCAACAAAATACAAAACTTCTATTCACAGCCTGACCGTTAAAGCCCTCTCCTTAACTATCAAACGCGTACCACCCACCAAAAAAACCATCGTTGGAACCCACCCTATTCCTACACCACCAAACCGTCATCGCCATACCATACGCACCACCAACTCACCACCCAGCTGTAACAGTACCGAGCTTCTCCACTTTCTTGGTGCTTTACATGTTACCTTGGATCACTTCGATGTGAAAGAAATAAGTGCTTGATGGATGCCCCCTTTTGTTCTCCTCTGAATCAAGGATCCCTTTTTCTGAAGTTACTCGCGCAGAACAATAAAAAAAAACCTTAAAAAGAATTTCATACGTGAAGAAAACCCCTCCCCTTTTGACAAACCTCTCAATTTCTCTAAGCAAGGTTCCTGTCTCTGAAATTTATTTCTCTCTTTCTTTTTTTCCGTTTTACTCCCTGAAAAATACTAGCCAAAGAAAGGATTCTCCATGACTTCGTCACTTTCTTGGTGCTTTGCTTCTTATGAAACTATTGAAAACCATAGAAAAAAATGGGGACATATATAAAAAAATATATATACGATTTGCACCTCACACGTGATAGTTCTGTTAGTGATTGTACGGAATCTTAATTTAACTTGACAATAAACTAAATTAAATCAAACAATTTTTATTTAGAAACTAACGGCAAAAATTTTAAGTTCGGAGATTGATACCAATATTTTTGGGGGATTTTGTACAACTTAGCCCTTTAAAAACCGTACAGAATGTAAATATTGAGTCTAATAAATAATCAAATTTTCAGTAAAATACGTAAATGGTAGATAAATTTCTGCTAATATATAGTAATAAATAAATGTCTTTATATATATATATATATATATATATATATATATATGCATGTAATAATGATTTTCGTAATAAAAAAAAGACAAATATATTCTTACAATTTCTTTTACTACAAAATTATTTTGTGAATTCCCTTGGATGAATCTTTCATCTTTTTTCTAATTTATTATGTTTATGGCATGACCACTTCTATTTTAGTACATTGTAATGCTATTAATACATGTACTCCCAGAACAGACTATTCATTTTTGTCTGCATGCAGACAATTCAGGGCCCTATGAGTTTGCTAGCTATATTGGAAGGTGGCTAGCTGGTTTACATGCATTGATTACTTTTTGATGCAATTCTAAGCTTTGATGATACTAGTAATTTTTGAAATGGGTTCTTCAAATGAAGCTCGAGGAGGACTAGTCGATCGATCCTCTGGACATGTAGATGATATATTCATTGATTGGTTCCCTCTCTGTGTTAAGGAGTTAATGGCTGGTGGTGCAGCAGGTGCAATTGCAAAGACTGCTGTTGCGCCCCTTGAAAGGACTAAAATACTTTTGCAGGGTAAATCATCATGCAATCTTGTATTCTTTCTTCTCCCTAGTTGGAATGACCATCGTTTCCTGAGTCAGCTTTGATTCGAGTTGTTCTTGAGGTCAATGCAATGTTTTCTCTGTACATATTACACAACATTTTGTGATTTTGCACTTCTCTTGTGAATCGCCTGCTTTTGGAACTTTCTCTCGATGCATGATTCAGCTTATAGTTTATTTTGATCAATCTTGCTGATTAATTCCTTTTTCACCAATGTCTTGACAGCAAGAACAGAAGGTTTTTATTCAATTGGGGTGTACCAATCGATGAAGAAAATACTGAATCATGAAGGCATTCGAGGGCTCTATAAGTAAACATCTAACTACATATATTTCTTTTTATTCCATTTTAACTAGTTTTGCTTGCCAGACAAATAACAGTAATAATTTGCAAACTTTCCTCAGGGGAAATACAGCCACTATCATCCGTATAGTCCCCTATTCAGCATTACATTACACAACATATGAGCATTACAGGAGTTGGATTCTGCAGAACTATCCTACATTTGGGACAGGGCCTTTAATCGATCTTGTAGCTGGGGCTGCATCTGGAGGAACTGCAATTTTATGCACGTATCCCTTGGATTTGGCTCGAACAAAGCTTGCGTACCAGGTATATATCTATTTCGCAGACATTTTTTAGTCTACAAAGAAAACGATAGGTTAGCTGCAGCGATTAATTCACCATTGGATTCGACTTAGTCATTGCATAAATTGTTATTATAACTTGTCAAATTGATTCTTGTCTTACACATTCTATCCAAATACCACTTGAAGCTAGCCTGGCAGGTTACAACAGTTTCAGGTCAATGACAACTTAGTTTTTGTATAAACATAGACATAGAGTTGGCACGTTTTTGCACAATTTTCTAGTTTAATTTAGTCAATTATGGCAGTTCTCTAAATGTTAAACCTTCTTTATATTCTTCAAATTTAACTCAGGTGGTAGATAGGAAGCAAATTTTCACAAATGGTTTCAGATCATGTATTCATTCTCGTCCTGCATATGATGGGTTACAAGATGTCTTTAGGAAGGTCTACAAGGAAGGTGGCATCCGCGCCTTCTATCGAGGCATAGGTACGTCCTGCTTTCGTGAACTTTGTCGATCCACCGGCATTGTTTTCTTGTGCAGAATAGCATCTTTCATTTCCTGATTATTAGGATGATGCAGCAACTGAGTGGACGATTACTTAAATCATAGTAAGCTCATATCAAATTTGTCAGTTGGTAATAAAATTGATTATTTGGAAAGTGAATATGATGAACAGGTCCAACGCTTGTTGGAATTCTTCCTCCTTATACTGGTTTGAAGTTCTACACGTACGAGTTGCTGAAGACTGAAGTTACTGAACAACGCCAAAACTCCATAGGACTTTATCTTACATTTGGAGCTTTTGCCGGGGTATTTGGATCGACCTGCACATATCCATTGGAAGTAGTTAGGAGACGAATGCAGGTAAGGTTTCTAAGTTTGACTGCCAGTAGAACATGATTTTCTTGGTTATATGTCATAAGGTTTCTTCATATTGTAACAAGACGTGGTAAAAACACTGCTAATTGAGGTTTTGACATTCTACCAAGTTTAGTTTCTTCCTCTACGAAGTTGTCATATCTTCATATTAATCAAAATATTTGCTTTCTATATAAGAATACCATCGAAGGTTGATTCTATATTCATCGTATAGCTGTAAGCATTTGATATCCCAAAAAAGCCCAACGTAAACTTAGGTTCCTCAGGTATATTTCCTTTTATTGGCATAATTAATAAGGCTTAATTGGTAAGGATGGCAATGGGCGGGGCGGGGACCATCCCCGCCCCGCCCCGCCCCTCCCCATCCCCGCCCCTAAAAAAATTTCCCCATCCCTGCCCAAAATGGGGCAAAAATTACCTTTTTTTCTTTTTCAAATCATATTATCTAAGAAATTAATTGCTTTGCTTGAAGAACTATAAACTTTTTGTCTAAAATATAATCAATAAATCTAAAAAAAAATTGTCAAGACATAGCTTGGATGGATGCCAAAAAAAAGATAACATCAAAGAAAATAAACAAGTAATCACATGGGACAAAAGTGACTAAGTCACTATACATGGGGCAAAGCGGGATAGAGCGGCCAAATCCCATACCCGCCCAAAAAAAAAGCAAGGCGGGGGCCCTCGCCTCGTTTCCCAATCAATGCGGGAAATCCCCGTGTTGACTGAGGCAGGGTAGGGCGGGGCTGGGTCGGGTCGGGTTCAATTGCCATCTCTATTAATTGGTGACAAGTTCTTTGCATTCATGTTTCTACCAGGTTGATTATCTACAACAGGGCGAGGCAAGGTACAGCAGCACCATACAGGGGCTTACTTCCATTATCCGTAATCAAGGATGGAGACAATTGTATGCTGGTTTGAGCTTAAATTATATGAAGGTAATTTCGTGGAACTCTTTTGCCACTGCCTGAAAATTTTCTGCCCTTTGACACCATATAAGCTTTACGTGATTCATGCTGCATTAATTTTAGTGATGTCTTAACAGCTTGCTAGAATATGCAGAAAGTATTCCATTTTCTTCCACTAATCAACAATGTTGCAGGCTGTTCCTTCTGTAGCCATTGGATTTGCAACGTACGACGTAATGAAGTCTTGGCTGCATATCCAAACCCAATAGAGGCCTCAACTATGAGTATTTACCGCATGAAGTAAAGACCTTTTCTTCTCTGGTTGATATAGCAAGAGTTGAATGGCCAACTCCTGCTATCCTAGTTGTCTCATAGTAGAATTGGTGAGCTGAAACATTGGTCAGCTGAAACAATACACTTCACCTGAAGATTTTACATCAAAGATCGCACCAGGCAGTCAGAAAGCAAGTATTTTGCTCATATTTGCTTACAATATACTCCAACATATGATGAAAGCGTTGTAACCCTTCTGATTGATAGTGAATTTTCCCAGAATCCGATTGCATTTGGCTGCACAATTGCGTTCATATGGCAATGAGTTCCCCAGGCAAACTACATGAGTATAGCCTATATGATCTGAATATAGTTTGCTACTTCCAGTGTAATAGTAGAAAGGAGAAAACGTGAATTATATTTCTATTTTTGTAAGCTTGTTACCATCATTTTTTTTTTCTGCTTTGATTGATTTGTCATTCAATGAAACATCAGTTTGCCATTCAATCGAACATTTTGTCATCCAAAACAATATTTGCAGATGCTGGACAGGAAGAGGAGCAGTAAAAGCAAAGGTCACACTCTAGTCTCTGTGTATAGATAGACACGCGTCTGCATATCTTCCTTTTTCATTAAAAAATCATTAGCAAATAACAAACTTTCGCATAAAGAGTACTTGTAACTAATATGAAAACGAAAAATTTGTACAAAAATGAGGTGATCATTAACTATCTAAAACATAAGCAGAAATGAGTCAATATGTCCCTGGAGTTCATGGGCTATAGAAGTAAGGTCCACACTTGCATTTCCAACCTTCAGGCTCATAATTCGCATAGTTTACACCGAAACGGTGGGTGTTGGGTTTGCTGATGGTGGGAACTTGAATTGCTTCACAAGGAATGCAGCCATGGCACTTGTGCTCACAACTTGGTGGGGTGGACCCAATTTTGGTAATGCCTTTAGCATAATCTGCCGCTGCTTCATTTATCATCCCAGCTGCCACTTCTTCCATGGTTTTAATGCCCTTCAAGATTCAAATTAAACATCCTTTTAATATAGCCACACTGACTTCTTTAAACACAAAAGAAAACGAGAAACAGAGAGAAAGAGAGTACTTTTCTGGAGCCTGATTGGGAGCCAAACTTCGAGTCCAGCGAAACTTGTAAAGACTGAAGGCTCTTTCCTGCGACTGATCAGGAATTTAACGTTAGTACGTCCTTACAACAGTAATTATTTAAGCTATTACATTTGCATATAGAAAGTAAGAGAGAGAGGAGACTCAAACAGGATGAGAAGGAGAAAAGTCCTAAGAAATTAAATGGTGATAGAAGTTTAAAATAAATAAATAAAAAGCAGCAGTCAATTAGACTGAAGACCCAAGAGAAAGATATCGGAAATTAAAGCAAGAAACAATAATCTTCATGTTTTCCTCTTTACGAGGGAGAAAAGTTGTGAGCCTATGATCAAGTATGTAAGGTCATATCCTGATGTTTAGCCCTTGTAAGGCCAAAAAGAACCCTTGAAAGGATGCAGCAGTCCAATGAGTTGCCTGAAGGAAAACTTGCTTGTCACTAGATGAAAAAGAAAGTGTGTTGCTAATGAGATTGCAACTGCTGTGAGAATGATTAGGAAATATGTATAGCCCAACGAGTCAAAATCAGAGATACAGTCATAATTGTAAGAAACAAAACTCTTTTAGTTTCAAAGGGATGGGTCATGCAACATATACATACCTGCTCGATTAACACCAACACCATTATTAGGTGCGAAAGGCCTGCTTGCTACAGAAACCAAACTCACTATTTGCAGTGCTAGCACTAAACAGCAAATGGATCTTGCCTCCATGTCTTTAGAACCTGTAATGATGACTTAATTGTATGGGAGAGAGAGAAAATAAGAGGGAGTTTTTTGGATCACTAAGAAATCAGGCAGTATGGTGGTTGCAGGGATAAAGGAAGGAGGGAATTATTTAAAGGCTAACAAAATAACTCACTCTCATTTCCCAAAAACTAAGCAACAAACCCTCCAAAATTTCTTGGGTTTCTCCTGGTGAGGTCTGTTATCTTGCATGCATTGGTACTTGGTAGTTTGGTACAGCTTAGAGATATCGCTACACAAGCAAGTGATTCTGGTTTCTTGTCAAATAGTGAAAATCTACGCTTGTGAGTTTCCACTTCACTTGACAACTCACTTGGAAAACCTTGTGATTTATCTGTTTTCTCAGTCGCTCCTCCTCTAGCTACTCTTTGAGTTCTTTGCCTTTCAATACAAGGCAACCTCTCTCTCTCTCTCTCTCTCTCACACACACACACAAATCTGTTTAAAATGGAGTACTTTTTGAGGTGGTCCTTTGCCCAAAATAACAGCGCCTTTTTCTGGGGCATCTGGAAAATCTGCAAGACACCTCATCAATCTCTGATGTACAAAAGAAAATCTCAGCTAAGCCTAGACTGCAGAGCCCTTTTCTTCTCCTCTAGTTGTAAGGAAAAGGTCCACTGTAAGGGCTCCATTGACGTAGGAAAGGAAGAGGCACCAAAGTCTGCAGGTAAGCTTTAATGGGCTAGTTAATAAATTAAATAAAGCTGTTCCAGGGTCAACCTTTCGGAGGTTGGTGGGTGGGGAACACTCAATCTTGGCCATCCATTTGGACCTCCACCCATGGTTGCCATTAAGACCTTTTGCTGTCCCATTTGCCTTTCTGCTTCTTCCAGATGTGCACATTCAATGAATAACAGATTTCATGACATATTATTACTATCACTGTTAAAACATCTTTGCATTCAAGAATTCACTTGATTTGTAAAAAATAAGGTAGCTGCTCAAGTTAGTCAGCATTCTGAGTTGTTAATTGTCAAGGTAAAAATACGGGAAACAAGGTTTTGATCACACCTTTTCTCAGCTGTTCCTTATAGGAGGTAGGTGTTGCCGTACTGCGATGGTCACTGATTTGGCATGTGTATTTGTTTGAGATAGAGCTTAAATGGGCTAAAAATGTTATGGAAAGGTCAATCGATTTATCACGAAGAGATGTAAAATGGAAAGATGCGTCTTCGAAATTGCAAGCTGCGTTGATTAGAGTGATTTGATAACTCCATAGGAGGTAGGTGTTGCCGTGCTGCGATAGTCACTGATTTGGCTTGTGTATTTGTTAGCGATAGAGCTTCCGTGGGCTAGAAATGTTATGGAAAGGTCATTGGAGTTGTCATGAAGAGATGTAAAATGGAAAGTTGTGTCTTCTAAGCTGTGTTGATTAGAGTGATTTGATAACTCTAAAGGACCGCACTGCCACATTCAGACCCCTCTCTTGCACCTTCAAATTGAGAAGGAAGAATGCAAGAATAGGGATGGCAATGGGCTCGGCCCTCGACACATGTCTCGTTCGGAGCATAATTTACATATCATTTCTATCCTAAACAGAACAGAGATGGGATGAAATTTCGTCAGATTGTCATTCTTAAAAGTAAAACGACAGAGTGAGATCCATTCTCGTCCCATGCTTTGTTCGAGACGTATTTCGCGAACCATCTTTGTCTGAAACGGGATGAGGTAAGACATGACTCGAGATGGATCAGATTGCCATCCCTGTACAAGAGACATGCTCCTAAGCAATTTGGCCATGCCCTATTTCTCCATGGAAAAACATTTTGTCCGAGCAACACTTAGCAATGCTCATGATTATTTTTTGCCTTGAACAAAACACTTGAAGATTAAATTCGACATGATCAGTTAAATATCTTTCAGCTCTCATTCCAAAATTCGAATTATATGTCAACATTAATTATGCTATAACAATGATCCAGATTTATTGATTATCATTTGGATTTCAGACCAGGATACCTGGATAAACTAGCAGCAGTATTTTGGGCATCATATTGAAAAGCACAATCAAACACATTATATCTCTAGAACCCAAAAATTTCTAAAAAGCACATATCCCTATTCCAATCAAACTGCACACATAAATGTTTCTGGTTGAAATTCCTCTTCAATGCACTGTTTTCGGACCAATTGATGATAATCCATTTATGTTTAGATCTCCTAAGCATGGATATAGAAACTGCTCTTCAATGCACTTTTTTCAGACCAATTGATGATAATCTATTTATGTTTAGATCTCCTAAGTATGGATTTAGAAACTAACCTTTTTCTCAATAATGCACTTCTACACACATGATTCAAAACATATTGTAGCCATAGTTTTAAATAGCGGTCGCGGATGAAAAAACGATCGCGATCGCGATGGTGGGTCGCGGCTCATCGAGGTCGTAAAATAACGGTCGTGGCGATTAATTATGTGAATATATTAGCAATCGGTAATAAAATTATTCTAATTCACAATTGCCGATAGTTTTACTAATTAAACTTAATAATAAATAATCATATCTCTAATATTTTAATAACATATAACAATAGTTAAATTTATTATAAAAAATAATTAATAACACTTTCAATAGATTAATATCATATGAAAAATAATAAAATAATCATAATTTCAATATACACATTACAAAATATTCATCTCCAAAAAAATCGTCGTGGAGGAGCATAATAATAATTATCATCTTGTTGTTGATGTTGTGATCCCGATCTATCAAAATTACAATCATAACTATATTGTCCTTTCAAACCCAATTGCCTAAATAATGAAGCGACAATAGATGATCCAATTTCTTGAGGATGTTGTAGATTTGAAATTGACTGGTCCGATGAAGTTCCATATGAATCATTAGATACATAACCATATACTTGTGGACCTTGTGGGTGATAGTATTGTCCTTGACCATAATTGA